CCCAAAAAAGAGCTCCCGACACCTGAAGCACACCCTCAAGAAAAGGTCGTTCAGGATGACTACACTGAAACAGATCCATTCACTGATTCACTGAGGGGATTGGTTCTTTTCTCTGGACCTGAAGGATGCATACTTTCACATTCAGATAGCCCCCCTATACTGTAGCATGCAAAAGATATCAGAAAAGAGACATGCAGGGATGTGTTATGTAGCTGTCTCTATGTCATTAGCGTGACTTGTACCTTGCAATCATCTAATAAGACAGAATTTTGAGCAGCATAGACGCACTGGTTGGAGTTGTTTTCATGATGGTTTTTGAGGTCATCATAGTAGGACTGGGTCTTGGTCATCATCTCTATATCATCAGACTTCCCATGTTGGGCATCCAGAGCATCCAGCTCTGCCTTGGACAGATGGTAGACGATGCCAGCCCCATATGAGTCTCCAACCACATTAACTGAGGTACGGAAACGATCCCTGAGTAGAAAAACAGATGAAAGGCTCTGTTCAGCAATCACATACATTTCCTCACCTTAGGATCATCCTCATAGTAGGATCATCTAAAATATGACAGTATTCAGGGAATGCTTTCATTTAACATTTAAAAGTCCCAATCTGGATCAAATAGGTCTAGAATCAGAATACTCACAGAAGCCAGTCAACAGCCACCAGCAGACTGATATCTTGAGTAGGAAGTCCAACGGCTGTCAGAATGAGTAACATGGTGACCAGTCCAGCACTGGGAATACTTGCTGCCCCAACACTGGCAAGTGTTGCTGTAAGACTAAATGATGGGAATGTAAGCACTTTAGTTTCATTCATCTTTACAGATAAAGCATTTACTAGAAAACCGTGTCCAGAATAGGGATGTAATGGTATGAACATTTCTTATGACGATTATAGTGACCAAAATTATCACGGTTATCAGTATTATCACGGTATTGTTAAAATGTGCTGGAGATGTACAAAAAGTATCAACACATAAATCACTTCACCAAGTTTTATATTTAAAAATCAACAAACAACAAATAAAATGACTTTTTTGTTTGCATAATCACTAAAACAATAACATTACCAATGATGTTCGGATTTTAAATGACAACTTGACTGACAACAGTTTAAGAGCGTGTTGAAATATCTAATGTAAATGTTCAAATAAAGCTTTGAAAAAGTTTAATAAAAAGGTAAACCTCATATTTCAGCCTTTAAATAAAGAAAAGATATGTCAAAATGATAATTGATTAATACATGATTATATGTATTTTATTTGCTCCATAAATAATTCTAGATAGCTTATCTGAATTGTTTAAATTCATCAAAGTTTGTTTTTCATCAACCGTTCAAAATTTACAGCAGGGCATGGAAATTCGGTCCGTTTTTGACCAGACAGAAACTGCACACAGGCTGAATGTAAATATAAGTCTCTGAAAATCCACTCGCTGACAGCAGGTGGCGCTTATGGAAAAGCTGAATTAGAGCTATTTCCCGTAAACAAAGCAGCATTGCGATTAAGAACATTTCTTTAGGTATTACATGGAGCGAAGATGAAAACAAAATGCCATTGAATCATTTCTGAAGACAGTCAGAACCTTCAGAGGTGCATTCATATAATTAATTAATTCATATATTCATTTCTATAATTCCCTTTGCACTCTTTAAAACCTCCCAGCTTTTCCGCCCTGTTTTCACTCAAAACGAAACTCCTCTGCATGCTGTGCGCACGTGAGACTGTTACTGAAAAATGTGCTTTATGCTGGACAGTATTTATTTATTGCAAGTTGTTCAAACCGCGGTAATCTAATACGGTTTTAATGATAATTAAAATATGAAACGGTTATACTAACCATGGGGAATTTTATCATGATTTATCATCAAACCGGTAATCGTTACATCCCTAGTCCAGAACAACTTAAAGTGAAAAGAACAGCCTACTGCTTAAAAAGGACAAAGATGTTCTGAATTTTGCCTAAAAAAGTTACTGAACACCTAGGCCTCATTTCTCCAGTACACCTTAAAATGTAGTATAAGAGTCTTGCCTTTTTGAAATACAAGATATTTGGTACATCCATTTTGGAAGAACAGTAGTAAAATGAAACCGAAACTGAAACAGACCATCGAACTGTATTTTGCATTGTTGCATTCAAAATATACATTATAGAAAATCTCCAGACAGGAGTGCCACATGCTGCCCAAAACACGAGAAAGTTGATCTGCTCTGATCCGAATCTCCCAAAGAGGCTCCTTAAGACCCAAGAAAAATATATGGATCAGCCAAAAATGGAACCAGCAACAGAAGATGCTCTGCACACTCCAATCATCACTGTCGGAAGCATGCGTATCAGCAGGAAAACATACAGACTGCTGTGCAAGAGCATCTATCCACAAAGGTGATTATGGAGACAAACCAAAGGGGGCAACAGGAAGCAAACACATCCACCTCTGCCCTGTCAAACATTTGACCAAATCAGATTCACAGTCTGAGGGTGCAAACTCCATTCTCCATTAATGAATTTGATGCTATCCTGTGCCTTATGTCCTGCTCCCAGATTACCGCTTTGCCAGGTAATCATTCATTTTCCTCAATTTAATGCAAATGGCCTCCATGTGTCAGCAGTCAAAATGTGTATTGTTTTGATAGTGGGCTAGATTTTATTAACTTATTTATTGCTTTATTAAAAAAGAAGAAGCAATAACTGGTGCTATGCCACTGCTGCGGATGGGAACTAATATAGTTGATTATAATTACCTACAACAAAACAGGAAAATATGCTTAATATATGATTTATGCTCAGCTCCACCTATCTGTAACATTTAGTTGGTGCACAGGACATTAATTAATTAGGTGGATGTTAGTTCATATTATATATTTTTGAAAAGTAGCCCCTTCTGTCTTACCTGACAGTGATGATTTGACCTGGATCTAAATAAATTCCATTCATCTGGGCAATAAAAATGGCAGCCACAGCCTCATAGAGGGCCGTTCCATCCATGTTAATTGTTGCTCCAACAGGAAGCACAAAACGTGTAACTCTCTTGTCAATACCAAGGTTTTCCTCAAGACACCGGAACGTTACGGGCAGAGTGCCAGCGCTAGAAGAAGAAGAAGAGGAAAACAATTCTTACTCGGATAATAAATTATGCTTGCGGTTATGTTGCAATAATTAGCAATTTGTGAATTTTTGGAGCTAGCCTGAGAGCCAATAGTTTTTTGTAAATATACTTATTCATAATAGTAATTTATAAACTTTAAAGGGGTCATGAACTGAGAAACCAAAATTCCCTTGATCTTTTGACATATAAGAGGTCATTGTAATATAAAAACATCCTGTACATTTCAGAACTCAAAACGTTCTCGTTAATTTAAAACAGCTTATATTGAAAGCAGTCTGCCTAAACAACAGTTTGTGGAATCTTCAACTCTATGATGTAAAACTGAAGAAGAAGATCAACGCCTGCTTCTACATCACTGCCTGTCAAGCCCCGCCCACAGATTCGCGCACAACTGTTAGCCAATCACAGCAGTGGGTGTTTACTTCTGAGTGTACAACCCTGCACGGCTATTCAAACAGGGTTCTGATGAAGGGGGTCAAAACAGCACAGAAAATAGCTTATTACTTCTAAATGATGATGTTTCCGATGTAAAAATCTTGGTAACATTATAAGTGGACCTCAGAGTACAGTACTAAATAAAAAAAACAAAGGCAATTCATGACCCCTTTAGCATTTGTGTGCTCATTAACCATATGTTCAAGCACGCGCACACACGCAATGATAAATAGCGCTAGATGCTATTTGCCAACACAATTACCAGTATAATTGTTTTTCTGAAGAAAAAAAAAAAGATAATTAAAATCAGCTGTTTTTGTCCATACAATGAAAGTCAAAGGGATTTAAAAGTTTTAGGTTCCATAAAGGAAATGAAAGTGACATAAAATAAATCCAAATCTTCTGAAGCAACCTCTTCATGTGATGAACACTCCTTATTCAGTATAAATCAAATATGGTGACAGGTCAGTAACACCAAACCAGACTGTTTCTTATAGGTCATGATGTCATGACACAAGAACCAATGAGATGTGATGATACCGATGTATCGCTATATTTGATTTGGGCTGGAGTTGTGCGAATTAGTTTTATGCTACCTTAAGATACCTAAATATAAACTATATAGCACTTACTTCATTGCTTATATTGACACATATGTAAACTATCCTATTGCCAAGCACTAAACTGCTAAATGTAGACAGTTAGTATTCCAAACATTAACATCAACAATTTCTGTAAAGTTGCTTTGAATGTGTATTGTGTGATGCGTTAGACAAATAAAAAAAATCCTTCAGGCCATGTAATATTACATTTTAATAAAATTTTCAAATGTATGGCTACATAGAATGAATATATCATTCATGCAAAGAACATGTAGTGTAATTTCATACCTAGAGGCTGTGCCCAGAGCCGTGATCCAGGCCTGGAAGATGCCCATGAAGAACGAGAAGGGGTTTTTCCGAACAATTGCAAAGTAGATGCATGGCAGGAATATGGCACCATGGATGATCAGACCAATAATAACCGTCACCATGTACATCCCCAGCTGCCTGCCTACCACCTCCAGATCTTTGATAGAGATGATCTTTCCACAGATCAAGCAGGCGATGCCAAAGGGAGAGTACCTACAGAGTCAGTCCATAATGTGAGTCCATCGGTATAAAACGTATCATTACTGGACTTCGTAATCAGCTAGAGGACATAAAAAGCACAACTGACCACATGATCATGATAACCAGCTTCATCACAATCTCATTGAGTATGTTAAAGAAGTCAATCATGAGCCTAGCTTTCTCTCCCATCTTGCCCATGCAAATACCAAAGGCAATGAAGAATCCAATTATACCTGGAACGTAACGAAAGACAGATATCATTCAATATTTCAACGAAAAGTGAAGGAATTATCTATAGATATCTGTGAGTATGGTCGCCCTACCCAGCACGTTCATGCCGCTCTTGAACTGGAGAGATTTCTTGTCTATGAAAATAGGGGGTGGTTTGGTGGCATTGGACAGATAGTCAGTGCTGTTGGTGTCATCGAAATCAGGCTGAACTTCTACCTTCTTCACGACGGTCTGAATCTGTGCATTTCAACATCACCTCAATCAATTACACCAATTTATTCTTCCACTCCCACTTTATATCAGATGTCTTTAGCTGCAATGCACGTTATTAAATTAAACATTTAATACATCTATAATTACATGCAGGTACTTCAAATGTAAATACAACTAAAGTACTGGGATTGTTGATTGCACAGAATTATGTAATTATTTCCGTATCATACATACAATTTCACACTGAATCACCAAGAGAATGTGGAAACAACATGAAGATAATATTTTGAATATTTCATATGGGATAAAATGAGCAATTACATACTATAGCTATTCAACATAACAGTATAATTGTAAGCTAGGCCTAAATTGATTGATTGATTGATTTTACATTAAAAATATTACCACAACTTTTAATGTGAGTGATTTAAAACATATATATCCACATAAACCCATTATAATGTCACATTTAGAGGTGTTTTTCTTTTTTGGTATAGTGTGTTTGGTGATGTTTCTGCTCCTGATTCAGTAATACTACATTTCTCCAAATCTGTTCTGATGAAGAAACAAACTCATCTACATCTTTAATGGCCCGAGGGTGAGCACATTTTTAGCAAATCCACATTTTGGGTGAACTATTCCTTTAATGACCATACACTATCATGCGAACCAAAAGCACAGCTATCATGTAACAGCAAAAATGTGTTCATATTAAGAACAACAGAAATTAGTATGTATTACACAATATGCATACTGTATCAAATTTGTAGTTCAAATCTCCTGATATAAAGCGAGTCTGAACGTTCCCTGTGGAACTCTTACCTGCTGGAAGCAAGCCTGAACCAGGTTCTCAGGGAAGAGGTTTCTGATAAGGTCAAAAAAGGCATCAAGACTGGAAACCTCATCATTCACGGCTCCTTCTCCTAGATTCTCCTTGAGTTTTGGGTTTCCGGGGTGGATGAGGAGCACCAGGATGACCCCCAGCACAGCAGCAATGATAGTAGTGGTCATGTAATAAATCATGGCTCTGGTACCCAGACGACCACTTGACTTTGCATCCAGACCAGCGAGACCTTAGTTAGGGAGACGTGGCATATTATTTTCATATTCACAACTCAAACATTTTTTTTCCAGTGCCTTTATGTATTTTAATATACAGTTTTCTTTCCACTCTAGCTCAGTCAGATAGATAGATATACAGTTACTGTAGGTCCATATACATATATATTTGGACACTGACACAATTTTCATAATTTCGGCTCTGTAAGCCACCAGAACAGAATTTAAAATAAAACAATCAAGATTAAATTTAAGTGCAGACTTTAAGCTTTAATTCAAGGGGTTGAACAAAAATATAACATAAAATGCTTAGGAATTACAACCATTACAACTGCATTTTCAGGGACAAATAAATATAATCAGAAATAAAATCTTCATTTTTAATATTGTGTGGGGAATCCTTTGCAGGCAATGACTGTCTTAAGTCTGTAACTCATGGACATCAGCAGAGACTGGGTTTCTTCTTTGTGATGCTTTGCCAGGTCTTTACTACAGCTGACTTCAGTGTGTTTGTGGCTCTCTCTGCTTTAGTTTTGTCTTCAGCGAGTGAAATGCAGCTCAATCTGGTTGAGATCAAGAGATTGACTGCAGAATATTCCACTCTTTCACCTTCAAAAACTCCTGGGTTCCTTTTGCTGTATGTTTTGGGTCATTGTTCATTTGTTCTATAAAGCGCCTCTCAATCAGCTTTGCTGCGTTTGACTGAATCTAGGCAGAGAGTATATCTCTACACACTTCAGAGTTCATCCGTCTGCTTCTGTCTTCTGTCTCATCATCACCAGTAACACCAGTAACCCAGAGCCACTGAAGACATGCACGCTCATGCATCACACTGCTCCATGCTTCACAGATGATGTGTGTGCTTTGTTCATGAGCTGCTCCAAGCCTTCTCCAGACTCTTTTCTTCCCGTCGTTCTGGTACAGCTTGATCTTAATTTCAGCTGTCCAAAGAATGCTTTTCCAGGAGTGCTCTGGCTTTTTTAGATGTTTTTGGCAAAATCTAATCTGGCCTTGTTTGCTCTGGTGAAGTCTTCTCTTGATTGTAGACATGTCTTCCTCCTGGAAAGTGTTCTTCTCTTGGCTGGATGTTGTGAAAGGGTTCTTCTTTACCATGGAGAGGTTTCTCTGATCATCCAGCACTGTTGTCCTCCGTGGACGTCCAGCTCTTATTATGTTTCTGAGCTCACCAGTGCGGTCTCTTTTTCTCAGAATGTACCAAACTGTTGATCTGGCCGCTCCTAATGTTCCTGCTATCTCTCTGATGGATTACAATCGTCTGTTTCACTTGTATGGAGAAATCTTTGACCGCATGATGTGGTTCACAGCAACAGCTTCCAAATGCAGATGAAACACTTAGAATCAGCTCCAGACCTTTTACCTGTTTAATTGATGTAGAAATAACGAAAGAATAGCCCACATCTGTCCATGAAATGGCTTTTGAGTCAACTGTCCAATTACTTATGGTCCCTTGAAAAAGTAAGTAAATAAGTACATATTAAAGAGCTGTAATTTCTCAACCTTTCCTACAATTTTGATGAGAATACCCTCAAATTAAAGCTCAGAGTGTACAATTTAAGACTATATTCATTATATGACTGTAACTTGAATATGTTTTGGTCAGCAACTAAAATAATACAAATTGTGCATAAAAATTGTGTGTCAAAATATATATGGGCCGTATATAAAGATATGACACACAAGACAAAAAAAAAAGTTCTTCTATATGTCTTTTGTGTGAACATCAAATAGTATTGTTTTAAATCACAGTCAGCATCACAGAGATATGTGTATTGTCTGCTGGATATCTATTTAATTCCCACCTTTTAATTGTATTCATTTGTTCTCCCAATTTTTATTTCCTAAATGGCTATCGGGCTTAGTAAAACATTTAGAGCTAGACTTGTAACCTGAAGGTTGCAAGTTTGAGTCTCCACTCCAGCAGGAATTGTTGGTGGGGGGAGTGAATAACAAGCGCTCTCTTCCACCCTCAATAACTCACGACTGAGGTGAGAGCTTTGAGGAAGTCACTGAACCCCCAACTGCTCCCTGGATGCCGCAGCATTGGCTGCCCATTGATCCGTTTGTGTGTGTGTGTGTTCACGACTGTGTGTGTGCACTTGGATGGGTTAAATGTGGAGTATAAATTCCGTGTATGGGTCACCATACTTGGCCACACTTCACTTTACTTCATTTATTATACAGATGTCAACTATATCCTGAATATGTCCACAATACATGTAATCATTGAAATACGTGTACACTTTAGGGACCAATTCTCACTATTAACTAGTTTAAGCTTATTAGCATGCATATTACTAGCATATCGGATGTTTATTAGTACTTATAAAGCACATATGAATGTCTTATTCTGCATGTTCATATTTTAGATCCCTTAATCCGACCCGATACCTAAACTTAACAACATTACTAACTATTAGGCCTAATAGTCAGCAAATTTGGAGGTTGGTGATGAAGAAGTCGTAGTTCTTAAATAAAGTGTGTCCTTCCGTTTATAAGCAGATACTTTTTTTAATTGTTAGTGCAGTTATTATCGAAGTCTAGACTACTCTAGACAACTACTGGCACTACTAACATCACTCAACTAACTTAAACAGGATGTTTTACTATGTAATACAGCAGACATCTGTAATTGCATATTATATATAATATTCTAACCATATGAAAATTAACATTTTCCACAGCCCCGCCCCCCCCCTCAAACTTTTAATAGCATCCTACTTCAGACTTTTAACTTCCCCTCTATTTCTATCTCTACCTCTATTTATTTCTGCAGACTTCGGCTGCTTAATTCTGTGTTTTCATTTAGAAACAACGCTTCTTGGTGACATGATCAAACGAACACAAGTCCAATATAGGGCACAAGCAATGGCCTTTCTTCACACAAAATCTAATCACTAATTACTTCTCTAAGTATTACACAGAATGCACAGAAACTAAAGAACAGTTTTTGATAACCACATTCAAGAAAACCTTAAATACAATAAAGAACTATAAAGCAGAAGCAACAGCAAACAGAATCTGTGAGAAGATAATCTTAAAAAGATGGAGCACAGTTCTTCTCACGTCATTCTACATCAGTAGATCTTGGCTTAATTAAATGAAAGAGATGAGCATGTTTTGAAAAGGCCTAAGGTTTAAGGATGACCTCTCTTTCTCTCTCACTGTTCCCCCTCTGTTTGTTAGTATAATATAACACACCCAGACAGGAATTATCAGCAGAATTAGTTGTTTGTGGTTTCACCAATGTATTTAACATTTTCAGTCTTATTGTTGACAGCTTATTAAAAGATGAAGTTTGTGTTACCTGTGATTAAGCTGGAGATGATTAAGGGAAGGATGAGCATTTTTAGCATCCTCATTAGAATATCTCCAGGGAAGGCAATTACCATGACAATGTTGTCATCGATCGGAGAAGCCACACGCAGCAGCATCCCAGAAACAGCTCCCAAAATCACACCTATGATGGGGAAAAGAGTGTTCCTTCTGTTGGAAAATATTCCTGAGCATACTTTAAAGGTATAGATAAATATGTGGCCATATGCTATTCCAAACAAATAAATCATACCACCCAGTTAAGAGTCTGGGAATGCAGGTCCAGACAGTCATACGGGACGTTTTCAGATATTGTGTCGAGTGAAGTCACTCTTCTGCCACCACCTACTGTACCTAACAGTCTCTACAGAACTAACGCACCCCTGCTGAGGCACTGCACTTTCTGCCTTAATAATCCTAAAAAGAAGCTTGTTTTTTTTATATCCTGAAACACACATAATCACACAAATGCCTCACACTCGCCCACTCAGGATCTCTTCACGGAAATACTATCTGCCATCCACACCTTCCAAAGACTCCAGAGGAATATATTCACCTATTCAATTACTTCAGCAATGCAATATAAAAGTAACTTCCTCTGTTTTCGCTCTGTATCCAGCAGTGCTTCAGAACTATACTAAAATGTACTGTCACCTGCTCTCTTCTGAGCCTTTACTGTCCAGATACAATCAGAACATGCTATGTGTGCTGTCTTCTTTTCTCTTTCTGCTGTTCCCTTTCCTCACTGTGGATTGTTGAAGAGCACTCACCCATCACAGTCAGCGTGAGCAGCAGGTTCTTGCACATCTTCTGACATATTGTTCCCAATTTGGAGCTTGGCCTCGCCTCGATGGGCTCCAGGTGGCTTTCGTGCACCCTAACCTCCACGTGCTTCGGCATGATTCCAGAACTGCAGAGAGAAACAGCCAGAAGAATAAATAAGTCAGTCGTTTCATGGCATGAACATGTGATCAGTGTGACAGTGTTTCGATGTTGTGTAGCTCTCAGCATGTGCTAACAGCAGCCAATTGTTCCAGGCATCCGCAGGTTCCATGCATTTCTTAGATCCACAATAGGACGCATACTGTCATCGTTTTTGGGCACAAGAACATATAAAAACTGCACTCTCTCTGATGAGGGGAACCTCCTCTGCTGTCCTTTCCAGAAGAGAATGGATTTCCCATCCTGGAAAATGGGTTTCCTGAACAGATATCGTTGTATGAGTTACCCTTTTGAATATCACCAGGGTTCACTTGAACGGAATTATGTAACCATGATTTACATGGTTTAAATCACCCGGTCTGACACATTCTCTGACGACTGCCAAGCGGACAGACAGGGGAATCAATGCCTGCGAGGACATCCACACTGATGAAGGAGCGAACCGGGGCTTCAATCCTCACAAATCATCACAGATGATAAATCGCATACAAAGAGACTTTCTAAAAGCCATAGATGGCACACAAAAAACACTTTGTGTCATAGAACAACAGACTGAGAAAAACTGTGCACTGAAGACATAAAAAAACTCAAACAATGGCACTGTGAGTTCGCTCATAAGGAGAATACGACAAAGCTTCTTATGAGTGTTGATTTAGTGTTATCAGAAAAAGCAAGTCAAGCAATGTACAACATCAAAAGATACTTTTTAGTAACAAGATACAGGTAAGAAGACAACGTCAAAAGATAATCAACAACCAGCCCTAAATATGGCAGCTCCACTTTGTCATTTCAAATTGTAGGGCTTTTTTTTACTTTGTTAGCAGTAAAATCAGGGCTCAAAAGGTCCTCAAATCAAAAATCAAGCGAGTTTTGTCCATGATCATGCAGAGATTTTGTCAGACATCAGCAAGTTTCCAACGAGCTCTACATATCTCGTAAAAACCTCTTTAATCCACATATTGACATCTAAGCAAATACATCTTGAAATAAATAAACAAACAAACTCATAATTGCACAGGTACCAAAAATGATACAGACATGACAAATGAACATGTAGACCTTGCAAATGCATTAGCACGGCTTCTTCTTACAGACACGACACTCTGGTGTTCATGTTGGCTGATCATGTGCGATCTTATGTAATCACACATTTTTAATTGGATGTGTATTTAAAGGAGTTGGCAGCATGGGCACATGTGCTCATCTTAATGAGACAATCCTGGTCTCCCTATGGGAAGATCTCCTCATCAGCGTCAAGGAACACAGATGGAGATCACAAAGTTTTGTTATTTTTTATGTCTAAGTGAAAATTTGTCATCCAAATATCACATCAACACCACTTTTACCAAGTTTAGTGTTCAAGGCCCTTTTTTATTACAGGGTCAATATATACTGTATATAATAAAACATCAAAACTGAAATGCTTATTTAACACAATGTAAAGAATGTCTTACATTTATTACACATATAAGCATGGCAAGTAATGATACTTCCATTAGACCTGTGTGGCTTTATTCTTCGAGACTAATTCTACACGCCAGTCCTCCGAGGAGCAGCAGGACGGCTGTCCATTAGGCACACGAGGACCATCCTCACTCTGATACACTCTTTTGCTTTGTGAAGCTGAGGAGAAAGAGCTCACAAATTGCTTGAGCATATAACACTAGCGACGTTCATGTGTTAGACAGTACAAGAATTTTTTTACATGTTATTCTTCCCAGCTTTATCTTACATTTTCTTTCATGCATAGTAGCCCAGGTGAGTCGAAATCACTGCATTTTTTTCTTTATTTGAGCACAATAATAATGAAACAAGGCTTCTCCTGCCGCTGCTATGCACATGATACACAGCTTACACATGTGTCGTTTCAACCTGGTGATCCAACCATCTCAGCTTGTGTCTCTGCCTGCTCAAGCTTGTGAAGACAAGCAAAGTCAGATCCACGTCACAGGCCTGCTGATCTCACTCCACTGGCTCCCAGTCAAAACCCTCTGTCTGTTCCTCTCTGGAGGAATGAGCTGCCAACCTCCACCCAAACGTCTGAGACCATCGCAGCGTTCTAGAAGCAGGTGTCCCTGCTGACAACACTTAAAGCAGGGGTGCCCAAACTCGGTCCTGGGTGGCCGGTGTCCTGAAGAGTTTAGCTCCAACCCCAATTAAACACACCTGAACCAGCTAATCAAGCTCTTACTAGGCATACTAGAAACTTGAAGGCAGGTGTGTTGAGGCAAGTTGGAGCTAAACTCTGCAGGACACCGGCCCTCAAGGACCGAGTTTGGGCACCTCTGACTTAAAGGTATAGTTCACCCAAAAATGAAAGCCATCCTAGCTGTGTATGACTTTTTTCTTTCAGACGAATACAATCAGATCCTTTTTTGGTGAACGATCCCTTTAACAACTCAACAACTTTAAACCAGTGCACTTACACACATACACAAACTCCTTCTATTTATTCCCTGCATTTCTCTTCTGCTCTGGCTTGAGGAGTAAACCTCAAACCACTTTTCAACAATGTAAAAAACAAACAGGCAGAGAAATATAATAATAACAATAATTCATGCATTTAGCAGACACTTTTATCCAAAGCGACTTACAGTGCATTCAGGCTATACATTTTTTACCAGTACGTGTGTTCCTTGGGAATCGAACCCACAACTTTTTGCACTGCTAACGCAATGCTCTACCACTGAGCCACAGGAACATCAAATCAATTCCCAGAACCTCCCAGGCCCTCGACCAGCTTGTCATGTTCCCACAGTGTATCCTGGTGCCATCACATGCCCAAGTTAACAGTGGACACAAACTCAAGCATCCACAAGATCCATGTAAGAAGAAAACCGGACTCCACAGACCCTACGCAAGGTCTTCCACTGCTCCACGGTCCAGTTCCTCCATCCGGTCTGCACCTACACAGGCCCAGATGCTCATAAGCCATTGATTTATGCATATTAGACATTTGATTGTGGATGAACTGCGTGAGTGCGATTAAGTGTCTCAAACTCTCATATACTAAATGAGTGCTTTGCTGCACACAAACATGTCAAAAGATATGGTCATTATTAAGAGTTGACACAACTGATTCATGTTTAGCACACAGAGATGGTGATGGTGATGCCTACATCACTACATTGCATATTCAGTTCTACCAAGGCACTATTACTACTAATGCATTATCCTCACTGCATCAGTGCCAGGAATGTGAGCTGCTTCATGCATGGCAAAGCATTGCAGGAGGTGATGCAGTTAGCCCAAGGTGTGAGCCACAAAACATGATTTTTTTAAAGAATTTTAAGAAACGAGTGTCCATTGTGAAGGATTTGTCTCGTGCTTTCGGACAGACGGTAAGCCAGGGGTCTGAAATCTACTGCCCTCTGACCGGCCCGCAGTACGATCACATTCGCCAGATTGCTAAACTCAAGCCAGCTTTAACGCTACGACTGGTGCTCAGCCACAGATGGACATGCTCTGTGTTTTTAATAGGAAAAATGCAGGGCACAAATTCCAAGAATGTCACTCTCACATAACTACATAATGTTTATGTTTCAGACATAGTAGCAAATTACAATTATAGTTTGTCAAAATACACAGTTGTAACCATTGAGAGAATAGCCTTTTAACATAATTTGACGTGTTTTACTTTCTCTTTGACAATGTGTTTCACTTTAATTCTTCTCCCAGTTTTATCGGCCACTTACTTTCATGTCTTTTGAGAGAAGTGGAAGAATTTATGCATTGTGAATGAGAGAAGTCTCACTCCCTGACTGTGCTGCAACATAAAGAAACATGGCTGCTCATTATAATTCGCAGAAGATATAATATGGCCAATGTACATTTACTTAGATATATTTAGATTCAGAAATCTAGTTAACACTGTCATTGCAGCACACTATTTTAAAGCATGCTGCTAAGAAATGCAGGTGCAATAAAGATGTCAATATTAAAATTGTGTTCTGTCAATGAATTTACATAGTAAAATCAATCCATGGAATAACAGCGGAATTATGTGTATCTGTTACCATATATAAATAGTGATTTGCGTATGTAAAACTCATCATGCAAATGAAATATTAAAAATCTCTATGTATAATAATCTACCATCTATGAATAATGGCAATTATGCCAATCAGATCTGATTATGCTAATGTATTGCACTTGAGGTTATGTGTTTTTTCGCCAGTTTTGCTGTCTTCGAAAATTGCCAGGAGGACGGTGTGTTCTGTAAACGGACGAGAACAGAAGGCGAGCTGGCAGAGTTTCAGAATGAGTACTGTGTGTGTGAGTGTGAGGGACTGACATACAACAACTCAACAATAATAAAGAGAGATAGTCTTTATCATCCACTGTGAAACTTTTGGGCTGTTGAAAAGTGTAGAGCCATTTATTTTCATTTGAAATTATTCTTAGAATTATTTTAGAGCATGGCAATAATGATATAAAACTGCCAAAGTTTACTCTGAAGGCATCGTTCAGGTCATTTGTTACGCATGGTGTGTGTGTGTGTGTTTGTTTCAGACATAGTAGCAAATTACAATTATAGTTTGTCAAAATACACAGTTGTAACCATTGAGAGAATAGCCTTTTAACATAATTTGACGTGTTTTACTTTCTCTTTGACAATGTGTTTCACTTTAATTCTTCTCCCAGTTTTATCGGCCACTTACTTTCATGTCTTTTGAGAGAAGTGGAAGAATTTATGCATTGTGAATGAGAGAAGTCTCACTCCCTGACTGTGCTGCAACGTAAAGAAACATGGCTGCTCATTATAATTCGCAGAAGATATAATATGGCCAATGTACATTTACTTAGATATATTTAGATTCAGAAATCTAGTTAACACTGTCATTGCAAGCACACTATTTTAAAGCATGCTGCTAAGAAATGCAGGTGCAATAAAGATGTCAATATTAAAATTGTGTTCTGTCAATGAATTTACATAGTAAAATCAATCCATGGAATAACAGCGGAATT